TTCTTTCCTCCCTCCCTCCCTCCCTCCCTCCCTCCCTCCCTCCTTTCTTTCTTTCTTTTTTTGATTTTTAAGACAGAGTTTTTCTGTAGCTTTGGAGCCTGTCTTGGAACTAACTCATGTAGACCAGGCTGACCTCCAACTCATGGAGATCCGCTTGTCTCTGCCACCCGAATACAGGATTTAAAGGTGTGTGCTACCACTGCCCGGCAACCCTATCACTTTTAATAGGGCAAAAAGATCTAAAATCAATTAGGAATTTGATATGAAACCAGCAAGGCTGTTTGGGCATAACTAAAAGGATCAATGAATCAGTCTGGCTGCTTAAGTTGGATTAAACATTATCTGGTCTAATGAGGAGCGTGTGGAGGCCACTCAGTGTATGGAGGCTTTTGCTGGGACTCAGCCTATCACTTCTTAAAAACCTTGAGTTTTACACGCATGGGTTTTCTCCTGCGTGTGTGTCTGCCTATCTTGTGCATGCAGTGCCTGCAGAGGCTGGAAGAGGGTGTCATATCCTCTGTGGCTGGAGTTACAGATGTTTGTGGCTTGCCCTGTGGGTGTTGGGAATCAAGCCTGGGTCCTCTGGAAGAGCAGCTAGTGCTCAGGGCTACCGAGTCATCTCTCCAGCCTCTCCATATGACTTTTCAGCTGTCACTTCCCCTCCCAGGCCCAGACTCTCTCAGATCAAATGCAGGCGGTCTGGACTAAATGTCTGTCATCCTCCAGTTATTTGCTTCTAAGAGTCAGGAAATAGGAAACGCAACCTTGGGGCCACTGGCTTAGGCAAGCAGTGATTTCACTGCTCCTGGAGCTCAGCCACTCATTCAACGATGAGCAAAATCCCCCTAGGCTCTGGCAGGGTTCTAGTTCTCTTTGTTTTTCATCTCATAGATTTAACAGTGAGCTCCTTTGATAAAGAGGCTATTTCCTTCCAGGTTTAGATGGCTGCAGATACATAGCTTCTCTGCATCAACTTCAAATTCATTTTGTCTCTTAATGTACAGCCACCCCTTTTCTTTTGCTTACAATTTGTTTGCACGGACCATATTTGTTTGTACACTTCCCCCTCCCCCCTTTTAAAAAGTTTTTTCTTTTTATATTAAATAAATCTCTTAGACTGCACACACTTGGGTAATGCTTTTCCATCCATTCTGTCAGTCTGTCTTTGAGAACACATACTGTAAAGTGCTATAATTGCTAATAATAAGAGCTTAATCTTTGTTACACTGTTTCCATATGCCTCCTTGCTTCCTGTCTCTCGATCCTGTACTATCATTGCATGTAGTTGACCTTTTGGGTAGGGAATTGTTGAATTTCTTTCTCATCTACAGTTGTCTTTTAGTTGTTTGAGAGTTTCATACATGCACAATGTGTTTTAATCAAATCCATTCCAGTTTCCTCCCTCATCTACACCCCTCATTTTTCTGTCCCAACTCCCCCCCCCTCTCTCTCTTTCTTTCTCTCTCTCTCTCTCTCTCTCTCTCTCTCTCTCTCTCTCTCACACACACACACACACACACACATTTTAAACTCACTGAGTACACTTAGTGATTCTGAGTGTGCATGGATGTAGGTCTATCTACTGGAGTCCTACAGACAGGGGTTACAACCCTGAAGACAATTGGATTTTCCCTCCCCCACAACCTGTCTGACTTCTAGAAATCATTTGCATGACACACCCAGTTGAGGCAAAGGAGCAAGGTGTCAAACATAAGCAATGGAGGGCAAAGGACAAGGCCTGGGGTGATGTCTGGAGGATAGGCTGAAGGTGGAGGCACACGCCTTTAATCCTAGCACTTGGGAGGCAGAGGCGGGCAGCTCTCTGTGAGTTCGAGACCAGACTGGTCTACAGAGCGAATGCCAGGACAGGCTGCAAAGCTACACAGAGAAACCCTGTCTCAAAAGCAAAACAAAACAAAAAACAAGCAAACAAAAAGAAAGAAAAGAAAAAGAGAATAGGGGTGATTAGAGCAAGGACAAATCTGGAATGCTGCTTGATTTTCAAGAAGGTGCATGAAATCCATCTTAGTCTAATTTCTGCTAATCCAACATCCCTTCATGATAAAAGTCCTGGAGAAGATAGGGTTATAGACAACATTTCCCAACATAATGAAAGCATTTTTAAAACAATCCCACAGCCAACAAGGAGAAATCCCACAGCTAAATGGGGAAAAAGTCAAAGCATTTCTACTAAATCAGGAAGAAGATAAGAATATTTACTGTCTCCATTTCTGTTCAACAGTGTGCTTATAGTCTTATCTAGAGGACTAAAACAAGAGACAGAGGTGAAGGGATTACAAATAGTCAAAGAAGTCAAAGTATCCTTATTTGAGAATGATATGATTTTATACATAAAGATCTGAAAGATTCCACCAGAAAATTCCTACAACTGATAAATATATTCAGGAAAGTAGTGTAACACAAAATTAACATTAAAAAATCAGAAGCCTTCCCATGTACCAAGAACAAATACACCAAGAAAGAAATCAGGGAAACAGTCTCATTTTAAAAACGACCTCCGAAGTGTCTGTAATGAATTGAAAGACTTGTACAAAGAAGACTTCTCAGACACTGAAGAAAGAAGTTGAAGCAGACCCCAGGAGATGAAAAGAGCACCTGTATTCATGAGGTGGATATGCCCATCCTACCAAAAGCAATCTACAGATTCAATGCAACACCCATCAAAATTCCAATACTTTTTTCACAGATTTTCTTAATTTAAAATTTGTATGGAAACACAAATACTCAAGATAGTCAAAACTATCCTGAACAATAAAACCACTATTGAGAGGTATCACCATCACAGGATTGAAGACTCATATAAAAACTCACACTCCTACAGCCTCTTGACTTTTTGGCAAGCCAAAGTTTATACTGGGGAAAAGACATAATTTCCAATAAATGGCGAGAGCCAAACTGGATAGCTATATGGTGAAGGATAAAACTTGATCTTTGTTTTTAACCCTGCACAAGCCTATACTATACTATATACCATATATGGAGCAACTCTTATGAAGGAAAAACATTCAATTAGTGCTGGCTTACAGTTCAGAGATTTAGTCCATTATCATCGTGGCAAGAAGCATGGTGACATGCAGGCAGACAAAGTGCTGGAGAGGTAGTTGAGAGTTCTACATCTTGATCTGCAGAAAACAGGAAGAGATTGTGAGCCACCAGACCTGGCCAGAGCTTCTGAGACTTCAAAGCTCACACCCCTAGTGATGCACTTCCTCCAACAGGGCCATAGCTACTCCAACAAGACCACAGCTCCAATAATGCCACTCTCTATGAACATCTGGGGGCCAATTTCATCCAAACTACCACAGACTTCAATATAAAACCTAATAGTTTGATATATTTAGAGAAAGCAGGAGATATACTTCGACTTATAGGCCAAGAAAGGACTTTTGGAGCAGGTCCCCAGTTACACAGGCATTAAAAACAATAACTGACAAATGTACCCTTATGAAACTAAAAAGATTTTTACTGGAAATAACAAGAGCAGTCCAGGGAATAGACATACTATTGAGTAGACAGAAGTCTTTACCAGCTATACGTCTGTCAAGGGTCTATTATCTAGAATATAAAAAAGAGCTAAAACAATAACAAACCTGAACACAAAGAAAACAACCAATTAAAACTGGAGCGTGTAGCAGACATGGTGGCACATGCCTTTAACCCTAGCTCTTGGGAGAGAGAGGCAGTTGGGTCTCTGTGAGTTTAAGGTTAGCCCAGTCTATACAGCAAGTTACAGGACAGCCAGGGATACGTGGTAAGAAATACAAGGGGCTGAGAAATAATTTTTAAAATGTTTTTTCGCCCTTTGCCATTAGGAAAATGGCAACTAGAGCTACTTTGAGATTTCATCTAGTACTTCAAATGTAATTTCTAGGGTTAAAAAATGTGTAGGGTATAGAGAAATAAGTTGAGAGTTGGTTTGTGCTACTTGTGTGAGGTGTGATCTTCAGAAGCAGGGAAGGTGGTAAATTTATAAAAAGAAATTACCTTGGCTCACAGTTTTGAAGGATGTAATTAATAATCCCTTGGCCCAACAGCTTTCAAATCTTTGGTGAAGCAGCATACAATGGAGAGAGAAGTTCTGTTTTCCTCATGGCCAGGGAGTAGAAGAGAGAGGCATCAGGGACTGGGTTCACCAGACCTCTTTCAAACAGGTAGTTCATTGACCCAAAGATGTCCACCTCAGGATCCCACTTCAATAGGTTCCACATTCCATCAGCACTGCAGGCTGGCAATCAAGCCTTTAACGTAGGGGCTCTTAGTGGCATAAATAACAATGCCTTCTTTAAAATTCTGTCAGAAAATCTCAAGAGTCCTTGGACTACTCTGAAACAATTATATGGCCATTTCTGACCAATACGGTCAATACTTTCAGTTCAATAGTGTAGGCTAAACTTCCCAAAGGAATGATCACACGGGGGAAACCATCCTTTGCACATGCACTACAAATCCTGTGTTGCACTTATATTTGGTTCTCCATCCTTTCCACCGCTTGATAATGATCTCAAAGGTGAAGAATTTACCTTGTTAACTTTGTGTATACCAAGGATATCATCTGGCATAGAACAGGCCTTCAAGAAATACTTGTTGAGAAAAGAAATGAACAAACAAACCAGAGCAATGAGTTTCAAGAAAAGTATGTTAGGAAGCTATGAGCAAACTCTCACTACCAGATGACTGGTGCTTGCCATCCATGGAAGTGAATCTCGTGCTCACTAAGCAGCCGTAGGCTTGGAAATTTCACACAGTTCCGGGGTCGATACGAGCTTAATGTAATATGCTCAGCTCGGGTTACAAAGGCATGTGCCTGCCACGTAAATGTTTTGCACAGGCAAGCAAATAGTTTTGACAAGTGGTTCTCAAAAAAGTCTGTTATAATTTATTGTTTAATCAGTTTGAAATTTGTAAGAACTCATCTGTGAAAATGTGGTTCAAGATGATTTGTAAAATCCAAATCGCTCTCAGAGAAATCAGTTGGACTGACGTAAATGATAATGGGCAATTTTAGGTTTAATGGTTAAAGAATTGTAAAATAACTTCGTAGATCTCACGTTTATCAACTCGTTTCAAAGCAGGAGCTTGGCAAGGGTGATATAATTTTAATAAGAGAATTATACCAAGAAAAGATAAGAACAAAAATCCAACATGAATAAAGTTCAAAATTGGCTTCTTTGGGGAAAGTAATGAAATTGTGGGGGAGGGAGGCTGTGGTAAAAACCGCTGCATCCATCTTTAACCATGCATAGAGGAATAAGATGTACTCTGTTCAGAACGAGCCTCGGAAGCACAGTTAAAGAAAGATGCCAGACAGCGGCCATCATTGTCACCTACCTTAAGAGGAAGTCATTTGTTTAAGAGGTGAACCGAATAGAAAAGAATGTCATGAAATGATAGTGGTAAAATGAAAGATTTTCTTCAAGTAGTTCAGGCTACACTCAGATTGTGAAAAACATCTCTTTAAGGTAGAGGCTATGCCCATGTTTCTTAAACTAATGTAACCTCTGACCCAATTTTCAACCTCTTGATCTATTTTAAAGATTAAACAAGTTAAGATGTACTGAGCCTATTTATGTACTGGATGTTAACAAGGTCCTATATGATATGAGGGCAAAAAAAAAAAACCTATTGTGCTCGTTTTTGCATTCATAGCACTCATAGGGTTCACAGCCCACAGCGGGTACTCTGTGCTCATTGAATGAAAGATCTCTCAACTTACGGAGCTTTGCGATTTTCAAAGTAGTTTTAGACACGTTATTTCATGTCATCCCATAATAGCCCTTTGATGTATTTATAATGCATCTCTCAGATGAGAAAATAGATTCAAAGGGTAAAAATGACTTCGAAGTCACAAAAGTTTTGAAGCCAAGTCTTCCTTCTGGCTTAATTCGGTCTAGTGACAATGGCTCAGTAATGGAGGGTGTAATGTGTTTGTGGGTGTGTGATGTATGAGTGTACGTATGTGTACACGTTCCTGTGTGTGAATGCAGATGCGCGTGTACCACAGCACCCATGTGGAGGCCAGATGGCAACCCGACAACCTCAAGTGTTAGTCCTCACATCTCACCTTGTTTGAGAAAGGGTCTGCTAGTCTTCCGTTGTCTAGGCCAGGTTTATGGACTGATGAGATCTTGGAATTCTCATCTCTGCCTCCCATCTCTGGGTAGGAGTGTGCTGGGATCACAGATGTTCTTCGTGTGCGTTCAGTTTCTGTGTAGGTTTTTAAGTTTCAAATTGAAATCCTGACATGTTGCAAACACTTTATCCACCAAGTCATTCTGTACCCTCTATAATGGGGTGTGTTTTAAGTCACAGAGACCCAGAGTAATTGAAATAGTAGGGGTATCTATGGGTTCGTCCTTCCAGTTCCACAGCTCCTTTGTTTTGTTTGAGACAGGGTCACACTCTGTATCTCGGGCCACAGTGATGCTCCTCCGACAACCTCCTGAGAGCTAGGAATGCAAACATGCACCAGCTTGCCCAGCATTAAAGCCTTTTTTAACAAAAGATCTCAGTTAATTACTTTGAGAGAGGGTCTCACTATGTAGATTTGGCTCACCTGGAATTCACTATGTAGACCGGGCTAGCCTCAAACTCACAGAAATCTGCTTGCCTGTGCCTTCTCAGGTGCTGGAATTAAAGGTATGCACCCATGCACCACCGTGTCTTGCACTCCAAACCTCTTTTGAGAAATTAAATGCAGGAATTTACATACACATACTTCTACCTCTCTAGTCATTGGGGTAGGAAAGTGAGGTTATTCTAGCCAATAATGGCAGCCTGCTCACAATGCTTGTCTGACCTGGGGTTATGGGCAGTGCTTTTCTGGGAAATTTTCACTTAGTGGTAGAAAAAGAAATTGACCATTGAAGCCACAGAGCTTCAAAGTATGTATACATGGGTCTGCTTATGGCCACGGAGAGACTATAGTTAGGGGAAACATAAAGGAAGCCAGCCTGAATATTTCTGCTTCAAACATCAAATATCTTCAACTAATGTCGCTATTGTTTTCCCTAATTCTACTTTTCTTTTGGTACTATCTAATTCGGCTAATGCTCTGATAAGACACCAGCTCAATACAGCCATAACACCGAGCAGCATCTTCAGCCCCAGTTTTCCTTCTCATCTAATTAGTCTCCTACTAACGTGAAACCCCTGTGAAGAATCTCACAGAGGTCAGATTCCTTGTAATGCTCCTATCATTGCCTAGGGGCTCTCCCTTAGATGCTCATCGTCGTCTATTCTAGGCGTTTGAAATAATCTCTGCACTCATTTGCTTTCTGTTGCTGTGATAAAACACAGACAACTTGGAGAGGAATGGGTTTATTCCATCTTAACAGTTCCAGGCAACAATTCATCACCGAGAGAAATCTGGGCAGGAAATCAAAGCAGGAACAGAGGCAGGAACCTCTGCTTACAGCTTGCTTTTCATAAGCTTGCTCGGTTTTCTTTCGTATGCATCTTAGGACCACCCTGGCCAGGGTTTGTACTGCTCACAGTAGACTAGGCTCTCCCACATCAACCATTAGTCAAGAAAATATCCCATGGACATGCCTACAGGTCAATGGGCTAGAGACAAGTCCTCACTGGAGGGTCCCTTTTCTCATGTGATACTAGTTTGTGTCAAGCTGACAAAGGCTAACTAGCACAGCCCTGGAAGGGTTGACCTGTGTCTCTTCTCAAGTTTTCTATAGTTCACCTCTCAGACTGCTACTTCATGAACTTCAAAAGAGGAAAGACTTGTTTTGGTCCACTCTCTTGGAGGTTTTGGCCCATGTTTGCTTCATCCCATTGCTCTTAGGCCTGTGGTCAGGCAATGCCTCGTGATGGGAGCGCATGGCAGCGCATACTTCATGTTGGCTACAAGCCAAAAGAGACTAACACAGACAGTGATCTTCAAAAACATTCCTCCAGTGTTCTAAAGGCCCCACTAGGTTCTGCTTTTCAAAAGTTCTACCACCTTTCAATATTGCCAAGATAAAAAGTTGAGTCAGTCTTAACATATGGAGCTATGAGTAATATTCTAGACCTAAACCATTGCGTCCTACCTCAGGCTCCCAAGGTTTCATGTTGGTCTGACAATGCAAAAAGAATCAAGTGTATCCTTAAACTTATTAAAGATCTCAAC